CTCCCAACTCATCGATTTTTTATAAGAGAATGTGCATTTTTCTTTAATTGCCCACATTGGGCTTCGATTACACTGAAACACCGGAACACAAATCAGAAGACACTTACCTTCGTGCGGTTAATAGGAAATAACGGATTTTTACACTTCACATTTCATACTTTCGCCGCCAGATGGGGTGGCGGTGTTTCCCACAGTGGCGGTGTTACCCCCGCTTCCCCTATATCGAGTCCGGTGCAACTTCACTGCCCTGCGCCACCGGTCCTCAACCATCTCCGCAGGCCCAGCTTGGGCCCGGAGTTTGTCTGGTAAACCAAGACTAATTTAAAAAATCCCAGACTCGTCATAAAGAATAAGATATATGACAATGAGACATATGAGGAATCTGCTGTCGATATAAAAAACCGGAGTTTTGACATGTACATACAGACAGCTATAGCCGCTCGGCGCTGCGCTGCCGCCGCGTTCATACAGAGCGGTGGATAGACTGCGCCGCAACACATGGAGCGTTGCGGCACAGCCTATATACGGTCTCCGTGCTGCATTCAGAGTGCAGTTTCGATGATCAATGAGTTTGAATAGCGCTCAGAGTCGGATTTATACAATAATCCTAGGTATAATCAGGCACCAGATATCTTATTCTTTTGAAGGAGCTGCTAGAAGGTACCGCAGGCTAAAAACAATCTGAGATAGCACAAGACGCCCACGCCAATATTCCATTCGGATAAAACGAAGATAGTTGTCCTAAATGTACCCGGTCAAGCCCATTTAAATAATTTTCCAATCAATTATGCAACTTTATATATAATTTCGCTTAGGCGGAACGCTAGTCAGATCATCAGATGGAGGTATTCGCCCCAGTCCTCGGTCAGTTTCACGCGGTCCCCGTAAGTGTCACACACCATTGAGTGAAGTCGCGGCTCCGACACTGGCCCGGCCCATGCTGCACTGTACCGGCGCCCGGGTACTCAGAACACGGGAGACTACCGCCCTGACGGCGACAGGGCGCCTCGCGTGCGCGACCCGCCCGCCCAACAGCTCCCGTGGCGCCTCGCCGCTCCCATACCTTCCTTTGCAGACGTTTACACGTATGCACGGCGCCTTTGGCACGCTCAGCCTCGTTTTCGCAGGGTATGGAAATGGTGTGTGTACCGTCTACTGGTGCCACTGGGGGACTTACAATGCCGAAAGAATTACTCTTATCTTTGTCGGTGGCTGCGCGCTTTTAACAACCGCGATTTGAAACGTCAAAATGCCTAAGTACGAAAAGGAAACTTATGCAGATAATTCATTATAACATTTATCTAGCCACCAGCCATGGCACTGCAGAAAATGCATAAGCATTTTCCCACTCAATCAGGTTAGCGCCACACTCATCGCACGAGGCGCACGCCTGACAAAGGTTAGCAGCATTTAAATAGGTACGTGATTAACTCACCCTCACCAAAAGGAAGTTCAGCCGTTCAGCGGACGTCAGGGCGGCACTGGGGTGGCTCGATGCGGAGGACCTATTTAAATTTCATACGCTCGCATTACTCCACAAAATTTGCATGCATCACACACCAGTGTCGCTTTCATCCTCACTCCAAACAAACCGTGAGGCACGAGAACGGAGCACTCGACATGATGATGACCTGCGTCTGCCACGTGTACGGACGGAGACTGGGAGGCGCCGGTTCTTGTACCGTGCACCGATGCTGTACAATGCCCTCCCAGTGGAAATGCGCACGATGACAGTCGCCAATTTTAATCACACTCTCAAGCGACTTATTAGCACGAGGGAAACATAGGAATGCGTGTTTTACTACTAGTTACTTGCTGTCGTCGTCATTATTGTCTTATTTTAGTTTTTCCCTTTTCATTATGCCCGTTTTAGTTTATGTGCATGTGGAAAGTGTGAATGTCTTTTTATATCACTGCATTTCACAACTTGACTGATGGCAAGGAATAGCCACTTTGAGTGGATTTGCCTGAATAAAAATTGGTATTGGTATTGGTATTGGTAACTACCGGCTCCGGTCCGTTTACAGTACCGATAGGAGTACCGTCGGCAAGATGACCCAGCCGTGGATTGGCTGAGCGCTGACCCGTGTGGGTTTATCATATGTGCTACTGCTCAGCCGGATGCCTTAACACAGTGGTCTGTAGGCGTAACCATCCGAACACCCACACGTTGACCCGAGCCGCGGCACGCCACTGGGAAATTACCGAATGAGTTGTGCACAACTTGGACCTCAGTCGACAGTCCTCACCCAAAGTACTTCTGAAGTGTGGTTTTTAGGAATGTCACGGCAACTTACCGTTCGTCGCTGCATGGTTACAGGCTCAGAATTAGTTAAAATCAAATTATTTATGCAGACATTATCCATAAATAGGTGGCGCCGCGTGGGTAGACCTTCTTACCTGACCGTAATATCCATAGGCATGACAACTCCGCCGGTTGGCTTCACGTGCACTTGGATTTACTTGTTGACGATCAAAATGTAAATCATACAACTACATAATCATTTACCAGGGTCTCATAAAAAAGACACCTCATTTCCTCATTATGTCCGGTCCCGTAGCTCAGTTCGTAGAGCGCTGGACTCCGCGTGGTGAGAGCACGCGTTCCCGGTTATAACAGTCCGGGTTCGAAGCGCGACGGGCGCTTGACATTTATGAGCCTACTGACAGGTATGGTTGCGGTTGGTGGCAGGCCGTAGCCAGGCGAAGTCAGTGAGGGGACCGGCCGTGCGCGGCTATGTGCGCACGTTAAACTTTGGACTCTAAATTCTGCCGTAGAACTGGAATTGCGCGATCGGAGGGTAGAGGGCAGGGTCACCGCAACAAGCTTCGCTTAGCGGTGGCTCTGTCCTTGTGAATCCTTCCTATCAAAAGGTTCGGACTAAATCCATATAAAAAATCGTACTGCACGATCCTAGATTATCTAATTTACCTAAAAGAATATTTCAATCATGAAATGATCATGGTGAGGTTTCCAAATATTGGCAAAATCGGATAAAAATGATAAGTTTCGCGGTGGCAAAACAATTTACTCGAGAAGGGCACCTTGGACCGTGTTTAACCGCGGTCTAACCCCGTACAGTGTTTAGCCGCGGCCCGGCCCGGTGCGCCGCGGGGGCGGCCGGTCAGGTCACGGCTCTAACGCGCCGACTGACCTCCGTTCGCCGCCGCCTCTCCCTAATTGGCCCTACTGACGGCGCGCGGCAGATGAAAGCAGCGCCTCCGCCGCCACCGATAGCCGAGTCCGGTGCCGCAAGCAGCCCGCCGACCAATTACGACTGTCACCGCGCGGCAATTATTGCGCGGCGTCAAACTTGGCGCAGTCGGCGTCAGGCGCGGCGCCACCGGCGCACTGGCGCGGCTATCGGAATATCACCGGCGGTGACAACACACGTCGCGGCCGCCCGAGCAGCCTTGGAGGGCGGCCGCGGCGGCGGTGGAGCCCGCCCACGGAGACTCACACCGACGCGGCGCTGTGTCACCGATAGGGGAACGACGCTGCCGCCGCCGCCGGTTGACCCAGCCCGAACCACTGGCTTGACCTCAGTCAGACGACATTAGCCGAATATATTGGAACAAAGCTGAGTGCTCTGCAAAGTCCAAAAAGATTAGGCCTTCATGTTTTCATTTTACTGTGGTAAACGCATGGCACACTTTTGCCTGTCCTTCATAACCGGCATGTCTGCTAAATCATACGCGCGCGACTTCTGTCATCTTAGAAAGAGGCCATGCGAGGCTTTTATGAAATCAGGTGAATCAGACCCGGTCTCCACTGACGATTGTAAAGGCCACTGCATACTGACAGACCACAAGAGCACAACTAACCAAACGGCACAATTGATGACCAAACGACACTTTTGACAGACCAAACGGACACAACTGACAGACCAAACGGACACAACAGACCGGCCAAACGGACACAACAGACCGACCAAATGACAACGACTAACACAACAAATGGCAGAGCTGGCGGACCAAACGACATTAACTAACAGACCGAACACATAGCAGTCAGCAGCACCAGACGAAACAGTCACCACTGACAGAAACGAAGAACGCTGCGAACGGACACGTAAGAAAATCTCCACCGACCAACCCGAACGACAAGCGCTGCAGACCAGTCAAACGGCCACAATTGACAGCTCAAAGTCTCGCCGCTGACAGACCCGTCAAACGATCAACGCCCGCGCGGTGGACAGATCAGCGATCACAGATCACTGATCAGACCCCCACGACATCACAGGCAGCGGCTCGGCAGCGCAGACAGGAAGCCCCTCCGTGTAAGATATGGCGAACATCGTCGCACGCCGCGAGATCAAACGAGCCCACTACAATCCGCCAGTAATCTGCTAATAAAGACGAATGGCTGGCAGCGCCGGTGGACGTTAATGAATGAGGGTGGCCGCGCGGCACCGGTGTTGACGGCTGCCTGTCACTTGCGGTGGCCCAGGCGGTAACGACTAACGACCGCGATACATGGCGATAGGCGGGCGCTACACGCCGTCAATCATTACCGGCTGCAGCGCCGCGGCGCGCTGGCCAATACATTCATCAGTGGATTACGTTATCTTACCAAAGCTTCTAGAAATACACATAGTTTCGTATCGTTTCGTCACCAAGGTGACTTTTTGTGTTATGTCCAAATGATTTGTCTTGATATCTGTGAGAGGTTTGGACCGGATAACACGCTTCCCTCTGCTTCCCACGAGAGAAGTGCTCGTTTGCGGTAGCACACGGCACCCCTCCCATTCGACATCTCTGTGCCTGACTGGCGTATACTTTTCTTCTTTTGACTCTGTTTAACCAAGAGGTATGCTGGTCGAGTCTCAATTTGTTCAAACTCCATTGCAATGTTCATTCGACCCGTAGTTTTAGGGCCTTGCACTCGACTTATAATGTCAGTGACTATCATGGGTACGTTGCAACCAGGTGAGAGGGCTTGTGCACCAAACACTATACAGCGACCACCTATCACTAAACAAACAAAAAGTCAGGAAAGGCACTTTCAGTGTCATTTATTGAAAACGTTACATAAATGTGCAAAAACAACATAGGCGACACTCGTGACAGTGATGTTTGATGATGACTGATGATGAATGGAGTGCTGACTAGAGCAGTAGGTACACGACAGTACAGGACGGCATCGTTTTCACATTTCGGCACCTTCGACTTACCACAGGCGACCATTGAGATCAGGGAGATAGTATACAGCACTGTTATCAACGGTGACAGAAGTAGCACGATGATAGCAGTGACAAGCACTGACTTTGGGGAGCGGAGGACGGACAACTCTGTCACTTCACTGCTCTCCGGCACAGTCTATCCAAGTGCGCTCAGACGGCAGGTGACCGGACCCGGGTCAGAGCGCCGGTGACCGGGCGCAAGCCAATGCTGGGCGCAAGTAAGACGGCCGGGCGCAGATCTGCCGAGCAGAGGTTAGAGGGCTGGCCGGCCCGCCCTCACCAGCCGCGTTTGAGCAGTCCGACGCCGACCAGTGCGCAGAGCTCGGCCACGGCCGGCGGCGCTGAGCACAGCGCCACAATCAGCCAGTGCAGGTCGCAGTCCCATGAGTCAAACACCATGTAGGCCAGCGCCACAGAGGCCGACGAGTGGCACAGGATCGCTGAGGGCCGACCGTCAAGGAAATGGCACCAGTCGAGCAGCGCATCACACTACTGACTTGACATGGAGAACACATAATTATACAAAACATATCATTATATATATATCAAGGCATTTATGAAGCTAAAATTAAGGTTAACTTATTATGTCTATTTCCATTTCCAAAAGGTGGCCATCTGACGGAAGCGAAGCAATTTATCTTGGACATAACATGAAACGAAACTGTAATCCAGATGATGGGCTGAAAGCGATGTTGGTGGTCGCTACACCTGCTTTTAATGTTCAAGTGCATTAGTTCTTTTTAAGTTCAGCTTTTGCCGCATGGAACATCAGCTTGATAGGCATCACGAAATCAGTAACGTTATTATAAATCAATCCAGGGTACGAGTTGTTGGGAACTGAGTATCGCATACTCCTATACGCACATAAAGCGTTAGAACACTTCAGCATCATAAAGAAAAGTCGAGAAAGAACCTTATTACAAAACTCGACCGGGTTTACGCCCAGCTTAACATACAAAATGCGGGATAAAATGTTAACTGGTAGAAGCCGAAGAGGATAAAGCCTATGACGCACGCACTTCCGGTTATGACTAAGCAAAGCTCTTGCAATACGAGCTGAAACCAGAAATGCCATGCCGGCTTACGAGTGCTAACACTGTTAGGGCGCATGCCATGCACGGAAGCACTCCGCCGCCCCCTGCAATCCGCCCGACCAGGAACACACGTCCGTCCGTAAGCCTGACAATGGAATCACCGTGTAGCAGGAAGGATATGTTTCGGCGGCAGGCCCAGACACCGATTTCTCGCGGTATCCGCCGGATCGACACGAAGTCTTCAAAGAGTCAGACGATCTGCATCAATTAAAGCGGAGCTTCAATCGCTGCATGCATTCCTGCGGTTTTGAAAACAATGAATCCTTTAGCTTTCACCCATTCGATAAAATGGCTGGCGCGAGCCGTGTGTTGCGGCTTTACATTTCATCACGCCGCGCCAGTTTCATCTCCGCAACAGACGAACCGCGTCCCTGGCGGTCTCACAGTCGGATCATCGCACACCTATGGTCTCATCTCCGGAACAGAGAGTCCGCGTGCTCGGCGGTCCCACGGCCGGATCATCCCACAGCGTGTACAAACACGGCTATCTGCACCCAAGCTATCTACATCCATATCCATACATCTGAATCTGGTATCCCCCGTAGCTCTGAGTGTCTGAGCCTACCGCCGTTCCCGATCTGTATCTAACACAATTCCAGCCCAACGTCTAGCGCTGATCTCCACTGGCGGATCCAGACTTGCGTTTTGGGGGGGGGGGGCAACTCGTGCAAGGAGCCAAACCTAGGGTACCCCCAAATCCTGTTTTCTCATCGGATTTAGGCCACTTATTTTTCGTCACAGCCCTGAAACGATAATTTTTTTTTAAACTAAAAAAAAATAGAGAGAGAAATGGTAGCCCACTCAACCCGTGCCTTAATATTACTTTGAAAACACTTCAAATTGCTTTTGTCGACCACCGCTCCGGGTCGGTGCTTGGCGCAGCCTTCGCGGGCTGGGAGGTGTCGGTTGAACCTCTCTGCCGTTCGGCCCCTGATCAAGCTAGAGCTCGCGGAAAAAAACGAGTGTGTTGCCTGTGAGTGACGAGAGGAAGCCGATGATACCCGATTTTAAGGTCCTTGGTCATTGGTTGACCTTCCAGGGCGGTGTTTCACGGTCGCGCTGCCAGCCGCTGCCAGCGCATTCCGCGAGCTAAGGTCAACCTTCGGTAGTGTTGTAGGTATAGGCTAGTTGATGTCTCCATGGAAACCAAAAGTGCCAACAGCGCTGGCAGCGTGCCGTGAAACACCGCCCAGGTCAGGTCACAGACCCAAAAGACGGGAAAATCAGGGCCTGTCAGAACCTCCTAAAGTAAGGCTGTAATATATTTTTTTTTGTGCTGATCACGAATTTCATGTTAGTTTGGATCATAGATGATGTCTTCATGCCTTTAGGCCATGTCGGGGCAGGCCAGGTCAGGTCAACCAGGTCAACCAGTACTTATGGGCGTCCGTGTAGCAGATGTCCGACTACCACTGGCAGCTACGTAACATGATACGAAGGCATCAAAACTACTTCGTAAATGTTCAAATGGTTGCTAAATGCTAAATTCAAAATCAGCTAAACGTAACTATCCTAGAAACATGTTAAACTCGGAAAAGTGCACCGAGGTCATCAAAGGTCAATGACCTGACTTGACCCTAAGGTGACATTGACACCTACCACAATGGTTGGGACCAACATCATTTCACATGTTTGAGCGTTTTAAACCATGAAAAGACTGTAAACGAGCGGATAATGTGAGCCGACATACGCGGAATCGCGATTCCGGCCAAACATGGCCTCAAACATGGCCAAACATAGTCTCGAGAAATAGGCCACAGGTCAAAGGTCACTTGGGTCAGGGTCATGAAATTTTCAGACTTTGTCAACATGAGGGTGCTAAAGTTTCGTCGCGATCGGATTCATGATAACTTACACGATAACTTCACGCGTCGATCGAGAGGCAAAGTATGCAATAAGAACTTCTTGGGTGAAGACGAGACCAACACTCAAGCTCACATATTTTTAATGATACGGTAGTTTCTACCTACTACGCTACTTTCTCACATTCATATTTCTTAAGTGTTTTTGGGGGCCAAAATACATGTTGCCCCCTTTCAGGCTTGGGGGCATGACCCCGTGGCCCCCCTGGATCCGCTAGGCCGAAACTAACTAGGCCGTTTTCAAACGGTCTGATATTTCAGGTCATGGTTTGCAAACGGCCGGTGTTTTCAGGCTGTTTCATATGCCCTGACTGGGCCAGGCCGTTTGCAAACGGACAATTTTCATACGGCCTGTAACATATATTCATATTTCACCATCTGTCGCAGCATCAAATGCTGATGTGGTGCACTCAAAAGCCGGAATTGGTCCTTGGATGCCGTAAGGACCCTTTTAAGAAATAAGTGACCCGACTGACCCCTTAGAGATTGGCCTGAGCTCTGACCGAAATAAGTCTTTTACCGTTTCACGGGAAGGGACAAAAAGGTCCCTGATATGCTTCTTGTACAATTACCAAACAAAACAAGCTTTTCAACGCCAACTCAGTGAGTGTTCCTAAAAAAATTATTGCGCATATTCCGTGAATGAAAAATTGCCGGGTCATGTCAGGTCAGGCTGCCAGAGCAAGTTTGTTAACTTGACAGTTCAATCGATATGTATGCAATAAGACCTTCTCGGGTGACGACAAGACATGACGACACTTTATGAAGGAAGCTAGTAAACCAGGTAGTTTCTCCATAGGCGCGGGAACCGGGGCAGTGGGGACAGCTTGCCCACCCCCCAACTATGGGGCCGTGGGGGCGGTGCCCCCACAACTTTCAGACGGAATACCCCATTTTTTGCAAATGTTTTCTTTTTTTTGTTGAAAAAAGCCAAGGGATGAAAAATAAGTGGCCCAAAACCGGTGAGAAAACTAGATTCGGGGGGACCCTAGGTTGATCTCTGTTATGGTGTGCCCCCCCCCCCCCCCCCCAGTCTGAAAGTAGTTCCCGCACCCCTGAGTTTCTCTACGCTATTGAATCACGCCGGTGTTTCTAACTTTTAGGTATCTACTACGCAACCTTCTCACATTAATTTTCCTTCAAGCGTTTTGGGAGGGGGGCCAAAAGATATGTTGGCCCCCCCTTTCAGGCTTTTGGGGGGCCATGGCCCCGGTGGCCCCCTCCCTGAATCCACCAGTGGGGGGGCGGTGCCACCACAACTTTCAGACGGAATACCGCCCTTTTTGCAAATGTTTTCTTTTTTTGTTGTTGAAAAAGCCAAGAGATGAAAAATAAGTGACCTAAAACCGGTGAGAAACTAGATTTGGGGGGACCCTAGGTTGATCTCTATTATGGTGTGCCCCCCCCCCCCCCCCCAGTCTGAAAGTAGTTCCCGCACCCCTGACTTTCTCTACGCTATTGAATCACGCTGCTGATTCTAGTAGGTATCTACTACGCAACCATCTCACATTAATTTTTCTTCAAGCGTTTTGGGGGGGGGGCCAAAAGATATGTTGGCCCCCCCTTTCAGGCTTTTGGGGGGGGGGGGGCCATGGCCCCGGTGGCCCCCCCCCCCCCTGGATCCGCCAGTGCTGATCTCCGCCCACTTCTATATAGCGTCTCGCACATCACAGCGGTCTGTTAGAACTTCGAAAAATCGCAGCTTTTTATTCTTATGAGAAATATGATTGTACAAAACAGAATAGAACGGATCCTTTTGAAAAGAGTACCTACCACAAAACGTAATGTGTAATCCTTATCACGTGTCTATAATATCGACTGACGACTCCGTCTTCAATGGTGCCGAATGCTGGACGTCCCCAACAAAAGGCTATTTTGTGTTTGTGTTGCTTCTTGCATTGCACATGAAAGTCTCAAGAACACAGATTCGGTGCCATTTTAACTGTAGAAAACTTCTATAGGAAAATTGGGGCGCTAAAACACGTCACACGATTTCAGAGGAATGTGGGTTAACTTCACGGAGGCATTCTCAGCGCAAACAACTCAATTTTCCCGTCAGAAATTCCCATCATCGATGCCATGGCCTTGGGTAAACAGAACAAAATATGTGACAGCATCGACAAATTGTTTTTCTTCTTTCCGACAAAAAGGGGAAAGCCCTTAGCTATAAGCAATGGTAGGTACATCGTCCCACTTCCGCTCTCTGTCAAATTTTTAATAAACATTTCAAACACAAATAAAAACAAGAACAGGAAACATCAATACAATATAATAATTAATATATAACCGATGCTATGTATCCTCCCTGCTTAACTTTAACAGGTAGCCATTAAAACAAAAAAAAAAGCAAAAAGAACTAATTAGCCATAGCATGCCAAGATCTGGTGTTTCCTAAACCAAAATAGTTTTACATTGTCCTCTCCCTCACCTGGTTCTGATAGAAATTTATCCCTCTCAGGTTGAATCCCCATAGGATTTTCAGTG